CTCACAGCGACTCCTGCCTCAACCTCCCAAGTGCTGGGATTATAGGTGTGCACCACCACGCCCGGCTAGAGCCTTGTATTTTTAAGAGCCAAAAGCTGGAAATATCTCAATGCCCAGGGAATGGATAAACAAAAACAAACTGTAATGTACATATATAATGAGATGTCAATAAAAAGGAATAAACTACTCAATACATGCAGCAATGTACATCAATTTAAAAGCATTATGCTAAGGAAAGAAACCACACGCAAGTCTGCATGATTCCATTTATATGTAATTCTGGTGCTCACTTCAGCAGCACATATACTAAAATTGGAACGATGTCATTCTGGAAAAGGCTAAAACTATAATGACGGAAAATAATCAGTGATTACTGAGGTTGGAAATAGGAAATCCTAAGAGAAATCTGGGGAGTGACAGAAACATGTTATATCTTGATTGTGGAAATAAATGGTTCTATAAACACTTTAAAAAGGGTTTTATATGTTAAATCCAGTAAAGAACAATCCAGTGAAGAAGCTAAGACGAACATACAGACAACAAAAAGTAGAGCAGATTGTTTAAAGCTTAGATGCTAGAATGAAATAAGACCAACGGATGGTACAGTTGGATATCAAGCGTAGAAAGAACATGAATTTGTGTATGAAAAAATTAGAAAAAAGTATCTCAAGCAATTCTCATATAAGTCAAGACAAGAAAATAGGTCTAAGCCAGGATCAGAAGACAGAATATGGAAAGAAGGGAATAAAATAGTTTGAGAGAATTCCCAAAAATGGAGGTATGGGCATCTATAAAAATGGAAAAGCATGCATTGTAATACAGTGTAGAAATGAAGTAGTCTTTTGTGGACAGATTCTGAGAAAGTAAACCATCCTAAACTTTTGAAGGGAAAAATCTTCATATGTCAGAGGTAAAAAGGATTTTGGAAATCATCCTTATAACAATTACTGAACTATCTGCTGAGTTAGACTCTTGAGGATACAGACAAGAACAACAGCAAACTCTCGGGAAATTAAACACAAATAAACAAGTACACAGATATCTCAACCTTTGCAAGAGCCTTGGTTTGAACCCTGCCACTACTTAATACTAGACACAATCACTTATCCCTACTCTTGACATTTCCATAACAACTATATGGATTTCCTTAGCAGTGTTCAAAGACAGCTTTCAATGTACTGTCTATGTCTTTAATGATGCACTCATTTATAATCAATGAAGTTACACCCCAAATGAAATCTTCTCTGGCCACTTCAGACAGAAATCAACTTATTTTTGGCGTGGGGATTTAGCTCAGTGGTTCCGCCGCCTGCCTCACAAGCGCCCAAATTTGATCCCTGGTACCAAAAAAAAAAGAAAAGAAAAAAGAAATGAACTTCTTTCTTCCTCCAAGCTCCTACATCTTTTTCCACCTTTGCAGTATGTGTGTGCTTGTCACCTCTCCAATTAGGCACGCTTCAAGAAAATAAAATGTGCTCCAACTGGCAACTGCCACAATAACTACAGAAGGCAACTCATCCTAAAATATAACATACTCGATCACACTTGCCTTACTGTACTATGTATAATATGAGCGCAATTCTGCCTTCTCATTCCTTTTTATTTATTTGCAGATGAAAACTGAGGCCTCATACAAGTTAGGCAAGCACTCTGCCACTAAGCTAAATAAACCTCTACTGATTTTTATACTGATTTACTTAACTCAGCCTCACACAATCCTGTTCTGATAAGCCTATGTGAGAGAACATACACATATACACAAGAGTGTTTGTATTTTATCCATGCACAAAAAAAGCCATTGGCAGGATATACGCTGAGAGATCAGGGTTGTCTTCCAGTTTATTACTTTGATTTTTCTCCATTCTTTAAGGCTGAGCTCATTCTTGCCTCTTTTCTGAAGCCTTTGTCAAACAATTCCAGGCATGGCCATCATTTTTGAAGAAGTATTTTCTAGTTTCAGTTTCAAAGAGCTATATCATTATTTATAAGTGCATTAAAAAAAGACAGGACTGGGGATTTAGCTCAGTGGTTCTGCTGCCTGCCTCACAAGTGCAAGGTCCTGCATTTGATCCCTGGTACCAAAACCAAAAAAAAAAAAAAAAAAAAAAAAAAAAAAAAAAATTTTTTTTTTGGTACCAGGGATCAAACTTGGGACACTGTGGTTTCGAGGCAATAATTTTTTAATGGTTAAAATACCTTCTAAAAAGTCTTCTATCTGAAGCTTAGCAAACATCAATTTTAAGAATGCTCTTAGACTGGGTCAAATTCAAGAATGCTGTTATAGTCTTTCTTGAATCTGTAGCACAAATCATTGCGAACACTAAGTAAATGCTTACTACTAAGTCAATGAATGGGATTTTCTGTAGGCTTTATTATAAACCACAGGATTCACTTGGAGTTTGAGCTACTCAGAAGACTGAAGTAGAAGGCTCTCTGAAGCCTAAAAGTTTGAGGCCACCTGGACAATAGAGCAAGATTCTGTTTCAGAAACAACAAAAATCCATAGGGTTCATTTACAAATATATAAACGTTATGGAACAATTTCAAATTTTGTGCCATGTCAAGAGCATGCTGTAAATTATAAAGTTCTCTAAAAAGACCTGTCAATTAAAAAATTCAAAAAACACAGAATTAGAAGGTTGGCTAGTTACACCGCTGTTTCAGAGCTAGGGATCCACACTACCAATTTAGTGTTGTATTTTACATTTGTTTATTGTCAAATCCAAGCTCTTCATGAAATATAAAGTCCAATCATCTAATACAGATCTAACATATTGCTATAGTAAGTTTTATAATTTTTTAAAGAAATGTACAAGTCATTCAAGTTCAAATAATGACAGAATATTTTAGGGGTGGATATTATCATGGCAAAAAAACATGACTTTCTCCTTAGTACACCGGATAACAACTATTTTACATCACTGTAACAGTGGTTAACATATTGTACACATGAAAACTGCCAATAGATTTTAAGTGTTCCTGTCACAAAAAAAAATGTTGAGGTACTATACATGTTAATTAGTTTGATTTAGCCACCCCACAATGCAAACTTAAATTAAAATATATTGTACATCTATAAATAAATGTAATATTTGTCTAATAAAGAAAAAATCAAATTACCTCCAATGGCTCAAGTTCATTTTCATAGGATTTGATGATTTCCTTTGAAGATATTAACTGGGCTTCCTTACTAGTAATCTGATCACGAATTTCACAAGCTTTTTCCTTGTTTTGCTTCAGATATTTCAGTTCTGTCTGACATTCTTTTACTTTCTGACCTTGTGTCTGACGTACCTGACGAAGTGTTTCCAAGGCTTTGATATACCTTTGAAAATATCAATAAGTCTGGCTAAGTTGATATATTTATACAATGAAATATTATGCAAGGAATTTGTAATAACTTGGTAAATACTTCTGACATTGTGGTGTGAGAAAAATTGTTTATTCTGGCAGTCAGCTAAATAAGTAGGCAAAAAAGAAAACTGAAGGGAAATATACCCAGTGGCTGCCACTGGGTAAATAATAACTGATGAATTTATTGCTTTTTAAATTTTTGTTTTTTAAGTATTGGGATCGAATTCAGGACCTTATACTTTCTTTTTTTTTTGAGCCAGGGTCTCACTATGTAGTTGAGACTGACCTGGAACTCACTAGTACTCCAGGCTGGTCTAAAACTCATAGCAATCCTCCTGCCTCAGCCTCCTGAGTGCTGGGATTATAGGCGTGCACCACCACACCTGGCTCAGGACCTTGTACCTTTGAAGCAGGCAGTGGCACTACCATATCCCTGGCCCTTAAATGTTTTTATTTTTAAAAAAGAAGTATCCAAAAGATAAGTATAGTGTTACACACCTACAGAAGGATCTCCTGAAGTGAGGAGTTTAAGGCTAAGCAGGGTAGCACAATGACACTGTCTCTCAAAAACAAATACAAAAATACAAACAAAAAAAGGGTAACAGTGGGCTAAAACGTCTTAACTACAAACCTTGTTGCTGAAAAAATCTCATCAAACTTTTGCTTCAGTGCCTTTCCTTCACTTAAAGGCCAATTAGAGTCTTCTTGGTGACAGAAAATGACATTATTTAGCACAGACTTAGAAACCCCAAGTGCACTTATCATTTCTCGGTCAATTTCTGCACACTTAGAGCTGAGACTGACCTTTTCACCATGCCTATAGGAAATAAAAATCAAGAATGTAAGTAATATAACCTATTCTATTAATCAATCATTCATGCTGTACTTCTTTAAACAGCTTGCTCATGCTAAAAAGCCTAACTCTTAAATGACTTAGCAATTCACTGACAAAAAAATTATATAAAATATGGTGGTAGAGGAAAGGATACCAAACTTTTTCACATATTTTGACTTTTAGTGACAGTAATTTAAAGTATTTATATGTAATACATACAGGAAAATACTACCTCCCACCCCTAGGACTCAAAAATATGAAATTTAAATGAATAAAACAAAGCATAATCGATAGCAGACAAGCAAAAGTGATTTAAACAGGTAAAGCTAATGTCTGCCTTTACTGTTTTTTCTTTTTTTTTGAGACATTCTCAATATGTAGTTCAGGCTGGCCTTGAACTCACCATATAGCCCAGGCAGGCCTCAAATTCATGGCAATCTACCTGCCTCAGACTCCCGAGTGCTGGGATTTTACTGTTTTTTCATTTTAATTTTTATTTTAAAATTATATCCTGAGTATACTCAGGATAAAAAGAACCACTGCCTAAGTGCTGTAAGGGGCTAGATTGGACAGAAACAGATCAGCAAATTATCACATTAGGCCACAGGAATATCATGCAGCTTGGACTAGAATACACTGTCACTGCAGAAATAGAAACAAAGTCAAGAAACATTTAAGTTAAATCCATAGACATGGAAATGGATCACATAGAGAGAGTAAGCAATGTATCCAGACTTAGGTTTTGGCTTCTGTCACTGGACATATAGTAGAATCATTCATTGTGATGAAAAATAACCTAAGACAATCAAGTTGTAGGACTTTTCTTTAGGAGGAGTAAAAGAGAATCTCAAGCCTGGTTTGGGGCACGCTGAATCTGAGACATCACTGAAACAACTAGTTGAAAACAAGAGAGGTAGTTGATATATGGGTCTGGAAACAGAGGTCTGCTTTAGATAAATTTGTGAGTCATCTGCAAACCCATGGTAATTTGAGCAAGTGATATGAAGGAAAGGACCTAGGAAGAGTATGGAATAAAAACAGAACTAAACAGGACTATGCTTGTGGCACTTCAACCTTTATTAGTTGGGTAAATGAAGTAGGATGTGGTTGCGATAAAAAGAAAGAGGGAACAGTGTTATAAATTAAAGTCTAGGGAAAAAAACTCGGGCAAGAATTGACTAACAACTGCCACTTAATGAACTGCAGTACACAGAATTTGTGAATGCTAGATTATCTGGCAAAGGGGAATTAAGATTACAAACAGAATTAACTGCTCATTATGTGACCTGAAGAGATAATGCAGGGTTACTTGAGGGGGGCCAATGTAATCACAAAAGTCTTTACATGTAATAGAGGGGAGAAGAGAGGTAAGAACGATTCAACTTGAGAAATAACGCTGCTCACTGATACATGAGGAAGAGCCATGGACCAACACACATGGGGATGGCTTCTAAAAAAGGAAAAGAACAAAACAGATTTTCCCCTCCAGCTCTCAGAAAGAAATACAGCCTACCTAACACCTTGATTTTTGTCTGGCTGCATTGTTTTAAGTGTAATTGTTACAGCACTCACATGAAACTTAACACGTGAGCTTTCACTACGGAGTAAGCATTTCATATGCATTAGCTCAATCCTTACATTTTTCTAAAAATGTATAGGAATAATGAACTCCTATTTTACAAATGAAGAAACCAGAGGCTATTAGGTCTACTTTGTACAGCAGCAGCATTATTCTAATCAATAAAAACATTATTAGCGACCTCAGTGGAGCTGTATCAGTGAAGAACAGGACTAGAGAAGGGAGTAAAGAGATGGAGAGAAATGGAGATTAAGTACTGCATTAGTTACTATTTTCTCACTGCTGAGACAAAATACCTGACACCCAAAGTTAAAGGAGGAAAAGTTTCTTTGGCTTACAGTTCATAGAGGTTTCAGTCCATAGTTGGTTGGATGACAAATAGGCCTTGCAAAGGACAAACAACATAGCATGCAAAAAGTAGCAGAGGCAACAAGAGTACCTCACCGCATCTGTCTGTCTCTTTTATTCAATCCAGACTACTGGGATCAGGAAGGTGCTAAACCACTCACTCAGTTGTAGTGGTTTAGCAGCCACACACCCTTAATCCCAGCACTACACATTCCAGATTCAGCCATCTCTGATCAAATGAGGCTTTGGGGGACATTCAGACCCAAACCATAACAAACAACTATAACTGTTCTGAAAAAATTGGCTGCAGAGGGCAACTGGGAGACAAGAAGGGGTATGAGAAAGGATTGAGTGTGATTAAAAGATAATGAAAAGAACCTACTTGAGGGCTGGGGATTTAACTCAATGGTTCCATTGCCCGCTTCACAAGCCTTAGGTACTGAGTTCAATTGCCACTATCCAACAAAAAAAGAACCTGCTTGAAAAACCAGTGCCTAAGGCAACACCTACAGCAGGCACTAAATATGGCTGGCTAAACAAGGGAATTGTGTAGTTTAACAAGCAAAAAGGAAGGGTAGGAAGGTGAATAGTTATGTAATTTGCTCAGCAAGGACACCCTTGAATCCAAGACAGCCTAACTCCAACCACTGAAGATGATACCTGAATCTAACACAATGATAAGGATTAACAGAGAAATTCTCACTTTTCCCTACCTGTCTGCTTATCTCACCCACCTGTATACGTAAGAGCATTTTTTTATTCATTTAACCTACATTTGAATGAGTATGTATTCAGCAACTGTTCATAAATCACTCATGGATGCTGTTACATAACAAGAGCAAGAAGGAATATTTCTACAGGATCTTAGAAAGAAACTTCTGACCAATATTATTCTGTGAACAATCTCAATGTGATACAAATCCAGGTGCACAAAGAGGTGCTATGATCCTCCTTCCTGTCTCCAAACAGATCTAAGGAGTGGACGCGTGGCCCAAGTTTGGGTGATCAGAAAATCAATCCATCTCTCTTCCTATCTTCCACCTTTTAGTGACAGACACTGAGATGACAGAAAAGGCCCAACCTTCCAGCTCAGCTGACCTATAGTAAAACCTTCTAGCTGCCCACTAATATTCACTATTCCAGTTTCCATAGAAAGCAAAATTTCACCAACCTTAGACGGCACACTGTGGACTATTAGACAGAAAACAAGTAAATGCAATTGTTCTTGTAAAAAAAGAAAAACAAATAAATAAATCACTCAAGAAAATAGAACATTATCACTAAATCTTCAATGGGATCATCCTATTTCACTGATAAACAGTACCAAAAAGTTAAATGTTGATAGTGAAAATGTGTACGAAGGGGCAGTGAATATAACTGCACTTAGTATGCAACTTTACTGTGAATCCAAACTACTCTAAAAAATAAAGTGCATTAAAATGTGCTCCCCTAAAATAAAGAGTAGGGAAAAAACAGTATATAAAACTTAAGAATGAAAATGAAGAAATATTCAAGTACAGTGTTAACACCTACTTTGTTCTAGTAATAACTCCTTCCAGGGTTTTAAATTCTGTCTTTTTGCTCTTCTGAGAACACACCATAGATCGCTGCACAGCTATACATTCTCCATTGACATCACGAAACTGTAGACGAATCTGGGCTCTCACATCTGTTTCTTGAGCAACCTTTATAGGTAAACAAAGAAAAATTATGCTATTATAATAAGCACCAGAATGTTAGCTCTGAAAGAAAAAGCATAAATAATCTTGCTCATCCAAAATGAAGTGAAAAGTAACATATCCAAAGTAACATTTTCATAGGCTACTGGAAATGTGGGAGAAGCGGAGCATGGGGACACATGCCTACAATCCCAGGACTCTCAGAGGCTGAGCCAGGAAGACCCAAAGTTCAAGTTCAGCCTGATCAACTTAGTGACTACCTGTTTCAAAATAAAGAATGTTTTAAGAGGACTGTGGATGGAGCTCAGTGTGAAAGCCCTGGGTTCAGTCCCTAACGTCAAAACCATCAGGGCCAAACATCAAAATATGGGAAGAAAAGAATACAGTTTAAATGTTACTAAAATGATACAGTATTACCTACCTCCTTTACTCAGCACTATTAAAGGTATGTAAATGTTTAACTAATGAATTTTATCTTAAGTATAAAAATTTAACTTAAAAATCCTACCAGAAAAATGACATGTAATGCTACCCCCTCTCACTTGAGAATAAGACACATCATCAATATTTTCTTACAAAGTAAGTTTTAAACCACAAAAATCAAGAAATTGATACTGATATATTACAATATGCTTCACAGATCCCATTCAAGTTTTGCCAATTGCACCAATATGTCCTTTTACAACAAAACAACATACTTGAGAATTACAGATTATATGTGTCAGTCGCGTCGTTTTAGCTTCGTGTGGTTTTTGCTTTCTTTTTTTATAAGGGGATCAAACTCAGGACCTTGGGCTTGCGAAGCAGGCAGAGGTACCACTGAGATAAATCCCCAGCCTCTTTTCTTTTCCTTTTTTTTTGGAGAGTCTCTCTATACAGTTCATTTAGGCTGACCTCAAACTAACAATCTTCTTGCCTCAGCCTCCCAAATGCCAGGATCACAGGAATGAACCACCATACCCAGCCTCTTCTGTTTCTTTCAGCCTAGAATGCTGACTTTTATGACTAATAACTTGGAAAATTACAGACCATTATTTTGTAGAATACCTCCCAAAATTTAGAAGGTACTTTCTTGTGAATGAAATAAAGTTACACATCTTTGGTAGAAATATTACAGAAGTCAGGGTGTGTCCTTTTCACTGTCTCATCAGGTAGGGCATGGCTTCAATTCATCTCATAACTAGAAGCATTAAGTTCAATCTCTTGATTGAGGTGTATCTCCCAGCTGCCCTATCAAACAAATGGTTTTTACTTAACAATTATTAAATATTTGGAGAGGTGTAATCAACTACTAATTTTCTAGTTTCATTATTCCTTCCACATTTATTCTACTAGAATAAAGGGCTTTGTCCTGTATGTTCTTCCTCTTCATTTTTTAAGTGTGAACTTCAACTCTTTAGTTGGTCTCCAATCCCCCACCAGGTTACCACCTCTATCTTTTGTGGATGCATGTATTACTAGTCCTACCTAATGGCCTTTGGACTGAATTACTCAGACACAACAAAAAGACATTGAGTGTTTTTACTATGACTATTAAAATTATATGCCTTTCCTGTATCTATTAGTGCTCATATGATTTTCCTTATTCTGTTAATGGTGCAAATTATACTGATTAGGTTTTGGATGTTAAACTTTGCATTCTTAAAGTAAATCTCACTTGGTCAAGGTCTATGATCTTTACATGTATGAATTTTACTTGCTAATATGTTGCTAAGGATCTTTGCATTTACCATATCATTGGCAATTACCATAGTTATGAGATTATCATCAGTAGTTATCTTGCAACATGAGAATTTGGCATTAAGGTTATGCTAAATTTGTTAGTTGGGAAGTATTCCTGCCTCTTTTCTGGAAATCTGTGAGCAATGGAATTATTTCTTCCTAAAATAATTGGCAGTTGTCTTGGTCATTTTCTTGTCACTGGGAAAAAACGTGACAGCCACAACTTAAAGAGAAAAAGGCTTATTTCGGCTCACAGTTTCAGTCTATGATTGGCTGACACCAAGAAAGAAACAGCAGGATGGAAAGGAATGGCAGAGGAAAGCTGTTCAACCCCTGGCACCAGGAAGCAGAGGAAAAGAGGAGCTGGGGACACGAATACACCCTTTACGGGCATGCGCAAGTGACCTACCTCCAACCAGGTCCCATTTTCTAACAGCAAGTCAATCATACCACCCCCATAAGTCAATCATCTTTCAAAGATATGAGACATTTGCAGGACACTACTGGAGTTTTCAGTAGCAGGTTTTAAACTAAAAATTAATAGCTGTATTTCTTCCTGAGTGAGCTTTGTTAGCTTTGGCAGAATATTCCAAACAGCTGGAAATACTAGAGCTTAAGAAAGAAATCAGAGCTAAATATAAAAATTTGGGATCACCAGAACATAATTAGCACTTAAAGAGACGGGACTGAAAGAGAAAGTCCCTGGAGAAGAAAGAGATGGAGTTAATTACTGGGGCACACTAGCACTTGGAAATCAAGCAAAAGCAAACCCAGAAAAGACTAACAAAAGGCTAGAAGAAAAAAGAGAAAAATCCTAAAATTATGTGCCATGGAAAGCAAAACATTATTTAAAAAAATAACCAGGGCCAGAGATTTAGCTCAGTGGTGCTGCCACCTGCCTCACAAGCACAAGGTCCTGAGTTGAACCCCCAGTGCCATAAATAAATAAATAAATACATAAATAAATAAATAACCACCCACCCAGCCAGGCATGGTGGTCAGCTGTATTCCTAGTACCTGAGGGCTAGGGCAGAAGGATCACCTCAACTTTCAGGCTGCGTCTCAAAACAAAACAAAACAAATAAAAACTAATAATAACCAACTGGATCCAATCTGTTAAGAAGTCAATGAGAATTAGAAACAAGACCACTGTTATCTAGCAACATGAGACTGAAGATTACAGAGAACCCTACAAGTGCAGTTTTAGTGGAGGGCAAAAAAAGAAGAAAATATGAATGTAACAGCAAAAGAAAATGGAAGATAGAGCTGGGGATTTAGCTCAGTGGTGTAGCACCTGCCTGGCAAGCACATGAACCTGAATTCAATCCCCAACACCGCAAATAATAATAATAAAAAGAAAATGGGAGGTAATGAAGGGAAAACAACAGGTACATACAATCTTGTTAATTCTACCAGTTGGAACAAAAAAAGGTAATGTTTTAAAAAGGGCTTTTTTTTATTGAAGACTGGACCATGTTTACACACTGATGTGAATTATCCTACAGAAAGAGAAACTGCTAATGCAGGAGAAGGAAAAGGGCAAAATTCCTAAGCTAATAAGAGAGATGGACAAGCTCTAGCCATTGGGCCAGGGACTTAGCTCAGTGGTTCTGCTGCCTGCCTCAGAAGCGCAAGGTCCAGAGTTCAATCCCTGGTACCAAAAAAAAACAAAAAACGGAGCTAGTTGATGTTTAGCTGAGACAATAAACAATTACCCATAACACAGGAGAGAAAACGATATGGGTACATGAATAAGGAGTTTGATAACTTTTTTTATTAGAAAATATGAAACTTTCATTTGATTTTTCCCTTTCAATAAAATAAAGGCAAGATCATTGACTGACGAAAGTAGATTACAGGTTTAAGGAAACAGAGACGTAAAATAGTCATTTCATAAAGGGCTCTCAAATTGTATTACCATTTTAAGATGAAAATTCATAATTATAAACTCAGTGGCACAGCACCTACCTGGCAAGTATGAGGTTCTGAGTTCGATCCCTGTTTATCAATGAGGGGTCAATTAAAAACATAAAATTCAGGATATAAGCTAAATATAATACTATTTAGTCATTGAGTATTTTAGTAAAAATAATGAAACATGAAACAGAAGTGTATTTATATACTCATATAGGCACGGCTTTATAAAGACAAAAAATTTCTAGAAGTATACAATGAACTGGACTTAATGGAGCTATAAACAAAGGATACAGAGAGAAATACATGAGCTCACCAGACAGATATATTCCTGTTGCATATATGTATACAACAAGTAAAGTCTACAGGACAAATTCTATGCCCTTTACACACACTAACAGTATAAACAGATAATTCCAAGAAGGATTCATGTACAAAGATTTTCATCAGGCTACTTTGTGAAATGTGTGTGTGGTTTTGTCTCACTATGCAGTTCAGGCTGGCCTTAAACTCACTATGTAGCTCAGGCTGGCCTCAATCTTATGGTGATCCTCCTGCCTCAGCCTTCATCAGGCTACATTTTAAGCAATCCAAATATAAAAAAATTATGCAACTATTAAAAATGTTCACAAAAACATCACATCTGAAGTACAAAATATTTCAGACATACAAAAGCATGAAGATTAAAAGAGGCACCCACATAATAAATATTCAGATTAAGAATTTATTATGTCTTAATGACATGGGACTTTTTGGTTCCAGGGATCGGACTCGGGTTCTTGCCCTTGCAAGGCAGGCGACAGCATCATTGAGCTAAATCCCTGGCCGACAGCACTTTTTGATGTTTAGTGGGGAGAAAGAAAAATAAAAACCGTGAATACAAAATTAAGAGTATGACCTCAGCTATGAAAAGAGGAAAAAGAAAACACATGAAAATTTCAACAGTGGCTATCATTGAGTGCTCAAACTGTGTGCAGGTGACTAATCTCTCTTTATACTTCTCCACTGCTAGATTTTTCTATTAGCTATTATCACTTTTACAATTATACAAAATTTTAAAAATAAAAAATTTTACCAGCACCATTACCTTGGGATCATGAACAAATGTATTTCCTTTGGTTCCAGGAGGGAAATCTCCAGTACAAATATATTTTAGACATTCTATGATGGTCTATGGAAACAACAAAATTATATTACATAGTTATAAAAGAACTGACAATACTAATCGTAAAGACCACTCATTATAAAAAATATTTATTGTGAAAATTTGATGCTGGAAGAATGAAGGGTGCACGGGGGAAGAATTAAAATGTGTTATGTACACATAACAAGTCCCCACAGTGAATGTAATCATTATATACTGCAAACATATACTAATAAAAGTAAAAAAAAAATTAGAGACTATAAAAATGTGGTGAGATAAAATTTGACAATATAAAGCCCATATAATTAAGAATTTAAGTTCACAGAAAAGCCATATAATTAAAAGGTATCTTAAAATAATTATTAGAAAAAAATATTTCCAATTAACTCTTTAATAACAGCTAACAATTGCATAGCGCTCCTTATGTGTCAAGTACAGTATTAAGCACTTTTATATAAATTAACCTTTTAATTTTCCGATGAGCCCTGTGCTGCAGAAACTACTTTTCCTCCCATTTCATAAATGAGAAAATAAGATAGAGAGCAGTTAAGTTGCTTGTCAGCAGTCATATAATAAATGACAGGAAAATTTTGTATTCAGGCAGACAGCGGCTAGCCTGCCTTCCAGTAGCGCACTCAGTATAACGCCAAGGACCCAAGGGGCACTCAGTGAACATATTCACATAAACAAAAGTAGCCAACATCTAACTCTCAACCTTCTTTTTGTTTTCCACAAATTATTCCCTTAGACTCTTCTGTTTTACTGGTATTTTCTTTTGTCAAGCCATTCTTCCTTAACTGAGCGCTTCTGCACTCAATTTTCTAAAGATTCCCTAGACTTTTAACAATTACTGTAAATAAGCTGTGCTCCAACTTTTTTTTCTCTTTCTTCCTCGTTGGTACCGGGGGATAGTTCTCAGGACCTTGTGCTTTCGAGGCAGGCGGCGGAACCACTGAGCTTAAATCTCCGGCTCCTGTGCTCCAACTTTTTGAATGGTTTGAGCAAACTAACCAAGAGGTACTTTTCTAATTTAATTAAATCTCACCACAGCAGTTTAATTTGAAGAAGTAGGCCATTCTACTCTCTAGTTAGTATCTTTTTTTAATGTGTGTGGGGGAGGGGGGTGAGACAGGGTCTCACTATGTAGCCCAGGCTGGGCTCGAACTCACAGAGATCCTCCTGCCTCAGCCTCCCGATGCTGGGATTACAGGCGTGCACCACCATGCCCGGCTCTCTTTAGCATCTTTCATACTCAGTCCACTTAGCAGCTTAGCTATTTACTATGACTTAAATTCCTATACAGGACAACTACTGGGACGTGAATGTTTCGCTTCAAGAGCAAGGGGCCAGGGCGGGGAAACCAAGGCTTCTGGTAGCTTCCAAGCACCGAGGGGGAGACGCAGCTCTAGGTCCGAGGGGGTGGGGCGGATGCGCCCACTCCTCACTTGGCCGCGGCCTAAAGACCACAGGAGGCCACGCCCCGAGGCAATTTCCGGGGCCCCCTTTCCTTTCCCTAACCAGAGTTCTAAAGTTCGGAGACTTTTCGTTCCCTGGACCCCTCAACTGGCTGCCCGCAATGAGACGGGCTACTCCGGACTTACCGTCTTCCCCGCCCCATTGGGTCCAACCAAAATTGTGAGGGGGGTGAAGAAAGTGATAATTTGCTTATCTTTGTCCTCTATTCCAAAACTCCGCACGCCCAGAATGCTCATCTTTTCAATCCGGGACATGTTTGCAAACGTTTCGTAACTCAACACCAAGTGCCTGGCGCCTGGGCCAGCGAGGGACCAAGAAGCCACGGAAGCCCCAAAAGGTCCGGAGAGCGAGGGCCGACCAGGTGTCGGCTGTGGCGAGAGCCTTCTCACGGGTTTCCTTCCCGGCAGGCGTACGGGGCGGAGGCCGACCCGGGACTGCGAGCCGGCGACGGAAAGAACCAGGAGAGCGTCTGCGGAACCCGCGCGCACTCGGACTCCCGCCTCGGCGTGCCA